ATCAGCTCATGTTAATTCTATTAGCTCATGTCCGTTCCATCTAGACATGATCACGAGTCGAGTCGAGCCGAGTCACCTCGAATCGCGGTCGAGTCGGGAGTTGCGTCGAGTCGAGTCGAGTCGAGCCATAGTCGAGTCAGTTTTCCGGAACTGCCGACTCGTGCTCGACTTCTGAAATCGAGTCATGCCTTGACTCGAGCACAAGTCAACAACTCGCGAGTCAGTCTTGACTCGACTTAACCGTAAAGAATTTTTAAGGGCCCCAAAAGTCGTGTCCTGATTCGTAGCTAGCATGCAAGGTAGGAATGACAAAATCCCGTCCCTTCCCCTTTCAGCACAGGTAAATTGATGCGCACCCAAAATTGCGTGAAAGGCGGAAATTGGGTGTCGGCGGAATTTGCGTGACAGACGGAAATTGGGTGTCGGGGGAATTTGATGTGTGACAGGCGGAAATTGAGTGTTGGGGGGGGATTTGCATGTCGAGCGGAAATTGAGTGTCAAGGAAGATTTGCTAGTCAAGCGGAAATTGAGTGATGGTCGGGAATTCGGTGACGGGAGAAATTGCATGAGGAAAGGAGGGGGAATTGACAACGGGAATCCACGTGGATAAAGTTGGTGGCCCTCGAGTCAGGCCAGCTCGAATCGAGTCAGCCGACTCGCCGACTCGTGGCTCACCAGACTGTCCAAAGTCGAGTCGGGCGATGCATCGAGATTTCTCCTCAGTTCGACTCGACTCGACTCTACTCGAGTCAGGAAAATAAAATAACTGACTCGACTCGACCTAAAGTCGAGTCGAGCCAGCGAGTCGAGCTAAAACTCGCCTCGATTGATCATGTCTAGTTCCATCAGCTCATGCCAATTCTATTACCTCATGCCCGTTCAATCAGCTCATGCCAATTTTATTTGCTGATGCCAATTTGATAAGCTGATGCTGATTGTTCTTGCAACTGAAGGAAATCGACAAGAGTTGATGGAAATGGCATGAGCTGATGGAATTCACAAGAGCTATGGAACTAGCATGAGCTGATGGAATTGACAAGAGCTGATGGAACTGGTATGAGCTAATGGAATTGACAATGGAACTAGCATGAGCTGATGGAATTGGCATGAACTGTTGGAACTGATACAGCTTTACATGCATGAGGGAAGGAGCGAGCACCGCACTGCACAGCACCGCACCATACTGCACTGCACTACACCGCACTGCACTACATACCTGGAGAAGTGATGGTACCACACCACACAACGTATCTCCGATGATTGATGATAATGTCTTTGTAAGTCACGTTCTATACAAGACATTTGCCTTCCTGGTACGTACAGTTCGTGTTTGATGTGTGTGGAGCATCACACGGCTTACCTGGTTGATGATAATCGGCCATGTGACATCGGTCACTTGAATGTCTTTGTAGGTCACGTTCGATACAAGCCCTTTGCCGCCCTGATACGTCTTGATTCGCAGAGCGTTGTTTGACCCCGTGAAGCTCACATTCCTTACAAGCACATCCGACACACACGCTGTCGTCTGATCTTTGCCCAGGCTCCCAACACTGGCAAGGCAGAGAGTGGGAAGGATGAGAAAGAGAAAGGGCGTTACTGGAACCCGTGAAGCTCACATTCCTTACAAGCACGTCCGACACACACGCTGTTGTCTGATCTTTGCCCAGGCTGTCGATACTGGGAACGGAAGGGGGAATGGCAAGGGGGGGACACAACACACACGTTGTAAGGTCCAAGTGCGACACACTCGCGTTGGCACACTTGCGTTGGCGCACTCGCATTGGCACACTCGCATTGGCACACTCGCATTGGCACACTCGCATTGGCACACTCGCATTGGCACACTCGCATTAGCACACTCGCTTTGGCACACTTGCGTTGGCACACTCGCATTGGCACACTTGCATTGGCACACTTGCGTTGGCACACTCGCATTGGCACACTCGCGTTGGCACACTCGTTCCTATTTCCAGCCTCACTCAAGAGGTGCGTCAATGGAGGATGAGGGACAAGGACAGGACGATGAAAGAGACACAACACACACACGATATGACCTTTGCTGGTTTCTGAGAATTCTCAAAAGCCAGCTCGTATCTTTCAATTGTTTTTTAGAATTCTCAATAACAATCTACAGCACGACAAAAGAGACACAACACGTTTGCAATATATCCATTGCTGTCTTTTGATCTTATTCATTTCAAGCTTCAGATGACCGTTGATTCCCTCACCTCACTCCCTGACCGTTGATTTCCTCACCTCACTCCATGGCCGTTGATGCAGACGAGATTCTCAACCAGCAGATTATGGCAGCCAGCACCGATCGCCACGTTGTCATCTCCTGATTGGCCGGGGAAAACGTAATAGTTGGGAAGGAAGGAAGAGCTTTAGGGAAAGCGCAAGGGCAGTGGGGGAAGGAGGGGGTTTAGGTAAAACAGGATAAGGTTGGGGAGAGTCGGTACTATGGATAAGATACAGATGCTAACTGTGGTACATAATTATCAATATAATCAATATGTACTGTACTGTAGCCAACATGAATTCACTTTTTTTTTTTTTTTTTTGAAATCATTAATGCATTCGACAACAACGATTCAGGTACCGCCGCAATCCCTGGCTGGATTGATGGATGGATACACTTTCTCTTTGCATCAATTTTGACGCTTATAGAAACAAGTAAATACCATTGGTTCATCCTCGTTTTAGACAAACTCACAGCTCTGCAGAAGGCTGTTTCGTACAATGGCGTGCTCAACACTGGAGAGCTGAATTCCGTCCATGTGGAGTTGCTTATCCTCTCTATAAGCAGAATGTGCTTCTTATGTGTCCTCGTTATAGGGTGTGCTTTCGTGTGTGTCCTCGTTATAAGCCGACTCACCGCTCTCGAGATGGCTGTTTCGTATGATGCCATTCATAACCTTGGAGAGTTGAATGCCGTCAGTGTTGGGGCTGTCAAACGGGCTGCGAATGGTTATCCCCTCTATACGCAATCCGTTGCTGCCGGACACCTTGAGGTGTGCGCTTCCTGGGTTGCTGTGGACAATCACGGGACATGATAAAACAGACACAGGAGGACCAAATAGGAGGAAGAAAGACAAGCTGTTAAGCGGGCGAGAAGGGAACGATGTTGTTGAGTGGGGAAAGGTGAAACAGGGAGAGATGCTGCTGAGAGGGTTACAGGCGAGCGTCCAGAACCCCAACAGAGGCACGGAAGGCAAGCCAGCACAGCTCACCCACAGGGCTGACTTTGGACTCGACCCAAAGGCACACCCACAGGAACCAGCATTAACAATTGCTGCTGAGAGGGCTGCAAGTGAGCGCCCGGAACATCAACAGAGGCACGGAGGACAAGCCAGCACAGCACAGCACACCCACAAGGCCAGCCCTTAGGTGCTGTGAGAGGTAAAACAGGGAGAGGTGCTGCTGAGAGGGCTACAGGGAGCGTCGGGAACCCCAACAGAGGCACGGAGGACAAGCCAGCACAGCACAGCACGCCCACAGGGACAGCCCTTACAGGGTGGGGTGCTGTTGAGAGGTGAAAAAGGGAGATGTGCTGCTGAGAGGGCTACAGGTGAACGTCCAAGACCTTAATAGAGGCCTAGAGGTCATGCCAGCACAGCACACTCACAGGACCAGGTGACTTTTGAGTCGACTCAAAAGTCACCTCGTGACCATCCAGAAACTTGATAGAGGCATGGAGGCCATGCCAGCACAGCTCACTCACAGGACCAGCCTTTACAGACGCGTTTGAGAGTTCTCTGTGAGACGTTTCAAAACTCAAAACAGATTCGAGACGTCTCGGAACTTGCCTCTGATCTGTTTTGAGACGTCTCAAAAAGCACCCACAAGGACCAGCCTTCCTTCACGGGCGTTTCGAAGAGGAGAAGCAAGCAGCTAATCAACTAACTCACGTCAATGTCACACCCTGCACTGTAGCGTTATCGCATCGGGGAAGGAACAGCAACACCGGCCGCTTGCTCCACTTGCCCTGCGCCCAGAACCCCAATAGTGGCCCACGCTCTTTCCCAATGCAAAACACCTAGAGAGACTCACGTCAATGTCACGCCCTGCACTGTGGCGTTATCGCATTTGGAAAGAAACAGCAGCATTGGCCGCTTGCTCCACTTGCCCTGCGCCCAGAACCCCGCCCCCTGCCCGTCCATCCACCCGCCTCCTGTGATCGCCAGGTTGGGAACCTCTCGGAAAAGTAACAGCGCCCACGAGTCGCTGTCTTGTGGCTCAGGGTAGGATGACACGTCAGCTGGCCCGGCAATGCCTCCATTGATCTGGTGGGGAGAGAGGGAGCAGAGGAGGAAGGAGGGGAGGAAGGAGCAAAAGAAGGGAATGAAAAGGGCCTTTTTATTGGGTTGGTGCAGGGGAAGACCTTCACTGCTCCCCCCATCCATCCACCCGCCTCCTGTGATCGCCAGGTTGGGAACCTCTCTAAAGAGTAGCAGCGCCCACGAGTCACTGTCTCGAGGCATGGGGTAGGATGACACGTCAGCTGGCCCGGCAATGCCTCCATTGATCTGGTGGGGAGAGAGGGAGCAGAGGAAGGAGGAGGGGAGGAAGGAGGGAAAGAAGGGAATAAAAAGGGCCTTATTATTGGGTTGGTGCAGGGGAAGACCTTACCTGCCCTACCTGCCCCCCCCCCCGTCCATCCACCCGTCTCCTGTAATCGCCAGGTTCGGAACCTCTCTAAAGAGTAGACGTGGCAATTCCACTATCGATCTGATGTGAGAGGGAGTAGTGGATTAAAGGGAGGAAAAGGGCAGTGGGGATGGTTTTGCTGGTGGGAAATTTTTTCTCCTCATCCACAAATTTTCCCCATTTTTTCCCCACATTTCCCCCTTCCCCCCTTCCCCCCCCCCCCCCCCCCCCCCCCCCCCCCCCCCCCCCCCCCCCCCCCCCCCCCCCCCCCCCCCCCCCCTTTTTTTTTCCAGATTTCTTGCTTTCCCCCAAAGTTTTCCCCCAATCCCTGCTTATCCGCGATGTTCTCCTGATTATTCTTCGCACCCACCTGACCCTCCAACCCCGCCGGACGGCCCTTCCAGCTCGACGGGGAAGATCTTGAACACCCCTCTACAAAATGCTCCTCTCCCACCTCGCACACCTCTGCACTGCTTCTCACACACCCACACCACTCCGCACTCACCTGAACCTCCAACCCTGCCGCACGGCCCCTCCAGCTCGATCGGGGAAGATGTGGAACAGCCCGCTCGCGGGGACCGCCACGCATTCCCCTTTCCCCATTCGCACCGCTTCCCATCCACCCAAGCCAGCGCCGCACGCCCCTCCAGCTCGATCGGGAAGATCTGGAACAGCCCGCTACACAATGCCATCCTATACCACCATGCGCACCTCCACACCACTTCGCACCCACCTGCACCTCCAGACCCCCCCCGCATGGTCCTTCCAGCGCGATCGGGAAGATCTGGAACACCCCGCCCGCGGGGACCACCACGCGCGCGCGCGCGCTCTGCGCGTCCCCCCACGCGCAGGCGGTCTGCAGCGCGCGCCGAAACGCGTCCGTGTTGTCCGTGATCCCGTCCGCGCGCGCCCCGAACTGTAGCACGTTGAAGACGCCCTCTTCGTTGATTGGCCACGGCGGAGGGGGAGGGAGCGCGATCGGAAGGGGCAAAAGTCCCGCCGAGACTAATGGGGGCAAGGGGGGGAGCGCGGGGGAAGGAGCCGTAACCTGGCGAGGATCCCGAGGCTGCATGATCTGCGAATTTTCGACGGAAAGAGAGCGCCGATCAGATGAATCTTTAGATCCGTCGGGTGCTGACGGAGCGTCACGTGGAACAGCTAGCCGGCTGGATAGACGGAGTCGTTGATGTGCGCTGCCAGCGAGCCGTGTGACCTGATTCGTGTGAGTGGGATCCGCGGAAATGGAGATCGCGGATAAGAGAAGAAGCGCAAGTGGCATGACCATCCTTGAATGCCACAAATGGAACGTAACTGGTGAAGGAGCCGCCTTTCGCGGCGAAATGACAGCTATCGGGAACGGCGAAATGACAGCTATCGGGAACGGGAATGACAGTATACGGTATACTGCGAGACGTCGGATCATCAGTCTAAGAGATCATCACTTCGGTCGGATCATTTGATTCCTTGTTCCCTCGTTTTTAGCTCTCGTTCTGACCTGCTTCTGAATGAACTGAACATCACTCGAAGCGCGTGGTTCCGAACCAGAGTCTGATAGAAGAAGCTGCATCGCTTGCCCTGAACCTCCCCGTCAGTACTGTCCGTACGGTCTGTACTTCGAGGCAGGTGCGGCGGCTAGGTTCGGAAAAGGCTCGAGGTTGCCACACTCTTCTCGGATCTCGAGGTACCTGAACCTGCCCAGTGTGTTTCACGCCATGGATCTTGTCACGCGCTCCGAACCCAACTGATCATGTCTCGGTCGGTGCGGCGTTCCGGTGTATTGTGGTGCAGTCACGCTATCCCCGTTTAAACCTCACGCTAGCACCGACTTACAATCTTACAAAAGATAAAACATGCCAACAATACAAGATTAGGTACTCTTTGCGTTGAGACTAATAATCCATTCGTTTGATTGTACGCAAAGTCTTGTGAAGTTCTTGTTAAGGGCAAACTACACCCTGCAAGACACGCCCCTATTGCAAGTATGTCAAACAAACTAAATTTACATATCACTACGTGACTACGTTGGAGCATATCGCAACTTAGAATACAACATCATCAAGGTGTGATCAGTGATCTGACTGAATTGGATGAGTGAACTCCAGCATCAATGCTGGCCGCCAAACCTGACTTCAATGAAATGGGTGGTTGTCTGCAAAAAGCCAACACAACAAACAAAACAGATACAGAAATACTGATTACAACCCAAACGAACATTGAATGAAATGCAACATGAAATCCACATTAATCTGTAACGTCTTACATGACGTGTAGATGCACGTCCATATCCACAAGCAAGCACACAGCCAACCACCCCCCTCCCCCCGCCCCCCCCCCCTCTCTATCTCCCCCCACACACAAGTACCACTCACATGCATTTGGCAGCCTTGCTGCTGATGGCTGGTGTCGCTGCAGCAGGATGCTGAGTTGACCTAAACACGCCACTCCCTCCCAACCCCACACTTACACATGCACACACCCACACACATCACTCACATGCATATTGCAGCCTTGCTGCTGATGGCTGATGTCGCTGCAGCAGGTTATTGAGTTTACTTTTACACCCACGTCACTCACTCCCACACCCACACTTTCACATGCGCGCACCCACACACATCACTCACGTGCATTTCCCAGCCATGCTGCTGATGGCTGAAGCCGCTGCAGCAGGAGGTTGTTGAGTTGACCTGGTCACACGTCACTCACACCCATGCTTACACACTCACACCCTCGCTTACACACTCACACCCTCGCTTACACACTCACACCCACACAAACACACGTCACTCACATGCACTTCGCTGCCATGCTGCTGATGGCAGCTTGTGCTGCAGCAGGCGGCGTCGCACCCTTCCACTGCGCCTCTGCTAGAAACACACCATCACTTACACACTCACCCCATCGCTTAACACTCACACCATCACTTACACACTCACACCATCACTTACACACTCACACCATCACTTACACACTCACACCATCCCTTTCACACACCCTTGCTTCCACACCCACACCCACACAAACACAAGTATCACTCACATGCATTTGGCAGCCATGCTGCTGATGGCGGCTTGTGATGCAGCAGGGGGCGTCGCACCCTTCCACTGCGCCTCAGCTAGGAAAACCGACACCGTCTTCACATCCGTGGTTCCATACGCGTTGTTCAACACCGCAATCAGATCTGATCCCGATAAATCCGATAATGCCGACGCTCCAACATCTTTTTGATTGGCTGAGGTGCTGCTGGTGCTGCTGGTGCTGGTGGTGCCAATTCCGAACAGCGCCGCGAGAGGGCTGACTCCCTTGACTGGTGCTACTGCCCCCTTGTTGACTCCGTTGACTTGGGTCTCCTGGTTCAACAGCTCTATAGTGTCTGCACCTGCCCCGTTGACTCCGTTGACTGGTGCTGCACCTCTGTTGACTCCGTTGACTGGTCCTACCCCCTTGTTGACTCGGTTGACTTGGGTCTCCTGGTTCAGCAGCTCTAGGGAGTCTGGATCAGCCCCATTGACTCCATTGACTGAGTTGACTGAGTTGACTCCGTTGACTGAGTTGACTGAGTTGGCTGAGTTGACCCCCACCCTGTTCTCCTTGAGGGTAGTGCTGAGCAGCTGGTTGGGTGACTTGGGTTGGCGGGAGGAGGTGAGGTAGACATTCGAAAAGGATATCCCAGAGCAAGGCACTGATTGGCTGCAGTTTAGAAGCACACCGACCGTGCCGTTTGTCGTGCCGCGGATGTTCTTGTAACGAATGTTGGTAACCGCTACAGCCGTGCTGCTGAGCTGGCAGCTACTCGCCGAAGCCGTCTTTTTGTCGCAGTAGAACTGGTTGATGAGAATAGGCCATGTAACGTCGGTTACGGTTATGTCCTCGTATGTTACGTTGCTCACGAGACCCACTCCCTGCTGGTAGGTTTTGATTCGGAGTCCGTTGTTGGAGCCCCGTAAGCTCACGTTCCTTACAGTCACGTCAGATACGCATCCCAACTCCCCATCTCCACCAAGACTGCCAATGCTGTGGGGTGGGGGGAGAGTTAAAGCAGGGAGAATAGGGAGAGAGGATGGAGAAAAGGGGGATTTATAGAGGGCCGTTGTTGGAGCCCCGTAAGCTCACTGTCACGTCGGATACGCACCCCAACTCCCCGTCACCGCCCAGACTTCCGATGCTGGGGGAATTACGGGAGGAGACAGGGGAGGATGGAGGGGGAGAAGGACGGAGAGAGGAAGGATGGAGAAAGGGTGAGAAAGATGGGTGCCACGAGTATGTTACGTTGCTCACGAGTCCGACTCCCTGCTGGTAGGTCTTGATTCGGAGTCCGTTGTTTGAGCCCCGTAAGCTCACGTTCCGTACAGTCACGTCGGATACGCACCCCAACTCCCCATCGCCGCCAAGGCTTCCTATGCTGGTGGGGTGTGAGGGAAGTGTGAGAAAGGGGATAGAGGGTCGGGGAAGGGGAGGGTTATAGAGGAGAGGAAAAAAGGAGTTGTTGGAGTGCTGAAACAGGGGAACAGGGACACAGGGGGGGAGGAGTAACATAAGTTACACATTGAGCATGCCTACATATGTGGCAATCGAGCCTCCTCAATAATCATTATGATTCATGGCGCTGCAATCGTACGTACCTTATGCCGTGTCCATTTATACACTGCGTATTCTCTATAAGGATGTTCTGGCACCCGCTAATGATGGCCACATTATCGTCACCTGGGCAGGGGCGGTTGGGAAAACATTGTTGTGCAAACATAGTTGAGAAAACACAGATAAGGGATGATTGGTAATGTCAACATCTGATTGGCACAGGCGCAGATGTTTCGGCACCCGCTAATTATAGCAACATTATCATCACCTGGGAAGGGGTGATTGTGAAAACACAGACAGACACAGACAGGGAACAATTGGTATTGTCAACATCTGATTACAACATCTGATTGGCAATGAGGCAGATGTTTCGGCACCCACTGATGATAGCAACATTATCGTCACCTGAGCAGGGGCAGTTGCAAAATCACATACAGGGAATGATTGGCAATGGGGCAGAAGTTACAATGCTGTGATGTCATGGTGGTTACAATACAAGGTTACAATGTGACAAGGGTCATGTTGCTGTCTCAACTCTCCCCTTCCTCTCAACTCTCCCCTTCTTTTGAGTCGACTCAAAAGCAATACAATGTGACAATGTGGCAAGGGTGATGTTGCTGTCTCAATTCTCCCCTTCCTCTCACCTCTCCCCTTCCTTTGAGTCGACTCAAAAGCAATACAAGGTTACAATGTGACAAGGGTCATGTTGCTGTCTCAACTCTCCCCTTCCTCTCACCTCCTCCCTTCCTCTCACCTCCTCTCTTCCTCTCACATCCCCCCTTCTCATCTCCTCCTTTCTTCTCACCCCCTCCTTTCCACTCACCTCCTCCTCCTACTGATCTCCTCTCCTCATGCTCGCCTCCGTCCAGTCCGCACCATGCCACCCCGCTAAGAGGAATGCTGTCCGTGTTGGGGCTGTTATAGGGGGAGAATGCCTCCTGTCCCTCTAGTCTCTATTATTGCCATATCCCACATAAAGCTCACCTCCTTCCAGCCTGCTGTTGCGCACAATGCCATTCACCACCCCGCTAAGGAGAATGCTGTCGGTGTTAGGGCTATTAAATGGGGAGAGTGCCCACCTGTCCTCCTAGTCAACCTCGTCTACCTCTCATCTACCTGTCCTACCTCTCACACTTCTTGTACGCTCACCTCCTTCCAGTCTGCTGTTTCGCACCATGCCATTCACCACCCCGCTGAAAAGAGTGCTGTCCGTGTCGGGACTGTTATAGGGAGGGACTGCCTGCCTGTCCTCCTGGGCTCCCTCTTTTTGTCTCTCGCTTCATTTGTTCGCACCTCCTTTCCTACTACTTTCAACTTCTTATTCTCACCTCCTTCCAGTCTGCTGTTGCGCACGATGCCATTCACCACCCCGCTGAAAAGAATGCTGTCGGTGTTGGGGCTATTGAATGGAGAGAGAGTCGCAACCCTCTCTATAAGCACGTTGGTCGTTCCGTATATCTTCACATGTTGTCGTGCCGGGTTGCTGCAAGAGAATGTGGAGGCGAGGGGAGGGGGTGTGGGAAGAGGGGAGAGAGGGGGAGGAGAATACTGTCCGTGTTGGGGCTGTTAAAGGGGGAGAGAGTCGCAACCCTCTCTATAAGCACATCAGTCGTTCCATATGTCTTACGTGCTGCAGTGCCAGGTTGCTGCAGAAAAAGAGAATGGTGGAGGGAAAGAGAAAAAACAAGAAACAGATGTTAGTTGACATCGCCAATACGTGCAGTGAACATTTTAAATGTGATGATTATTTAAGTGTGTAAGCATCGCAAGAAGTGTACACCACACAAAAACGAATGTGTACACATCCTTACGTGAACAGCATATCGCGAATCGTCACTCCGTCGCAATTCGTGATCGACAGCAAAGCCGGCCGCTGCTGCCCAGGAAACTTCCAAAAGCCCTGCCCCGCGCCGTCCATCACCCCGCCGCCCGAAATCTCTAGATTCGATATCCGGTTGAACAGTAGCAGCGCCCACGAGCTCGGCTTCGCGGGTTTTGGGTAGCTGCTGACGTCAGCAGCGCCTGTGATGTCGCCATTGACCTTGGGATTGGAACGAGGGAAAGTCGAGAGGGAATGGGAGGGCAGAAGAGGGTATGCGAGAGAGAGAGGTGAGGGAAAAGGAGGCGGAAGGGAGAGTGAGGGGAGGGAAAATGAGGAAGGGAGAGTGAAGGGAGGGGGGGGCAGATGGCGGGGAAGCGGGGGGAGGGGGTGGGTGCGGGGGAGGGGGTAGTTGGGGGTGGTGGGGAGGGGAGGGGCGGGGGGGGGGTACGGAGGTGGGAGGGAGGGGAGGAGGAAAGGGCAGCAACTAGGCCAGGGGTTAACAGGGCGAAGTAACTGTTGCACTCACCACAAATTGTAGTCCGCTCCTGCAAGGCCCCTTCAAATACATGGGGTAAATCAGAAACTTCCCCTCAGCAGGAACGACCATCCGCGCTACACCCCCTCCCCCCGCGCCTTCCCCCACGCCTGCCCCGGCGCCAGCCCCTGGGTCGCCCCCGGCGCCTGCGCCTGGGTCATTTCCCGCGCCCGCGCCCGTGTCATTCCCCGCGCCCGCGCCCGCGCCATTTCCAGCGTCCGCGTCCGCGGTCCACGCGCAAGCGGCGGCGAACGCGCGGAGGAACGCATTCGTGTTGTCCGTCTTGCCGTCGCCCTTCGCGCCGTACGCCACGACGCTAAAATCCTTCCCCACCGCAGGCAACGGCACGTTCCCCGGCGCGTTCCCCGGCGCGTTCCCCGGCGCGTTCCCCGGCGCGCTTCCCGGCGCTCCGGGCGGCGGCGGCGAGTTTTGCGGCGGTCCGGGCGGCGGGCTTCGCGGGACAGGCAAGGGCGGGGGGGTGGATGGCGGAGCGGAAACCCCAAATGGCGGGGCTTCTTCCCCCCTGATTGAATCGAGCGGGGGGGGATTCGAAGGCGGAGCGGAAACTCCCCCTGGAGGGGGGTTCCGTATCGTTGGCGGGGAATTGGGCGGGGATTTTGGAAGTTTGGGGGATCTAGGGGGTTTAGGGCTCTTAGGCAGCTTAGGCGACTTGGGTTGTTTCGGAGATTTCGGGAGTTTAGGAGACTTAGGAGGCTTGGGCGGGCTTTTGGGGGGCTTAGGACTCTGAGTAATCTTAGGACTCCCGGGCGGTTTGGACTTAGTTGCGCTTGTGGTTGCGCTTGTGGTGAGTGAAGTCGAAGCTGAAGTTGAAGTTGGGGAGGAGATTGAATTCGTAGCTGGGGAGGTAGAAGTCGAACTTGGGAAAAGTGAGGTCGAAGCGCCGCCGCCGCTTTTCTGCATGACGGCTTTAAGAGCGTCGATTATCGGGAAATTCGCCGCGAGCGACCGCCGAGCGGTTCGCGAAGAGAAAACCTGCGCGAGAGATCGCAGGCTCCGTCGCATGATGTGGGCTGTCGCCCACGGTCGCCGCACCGGGGCGTCAAGCGCAAGCCCCGTTCTGCCCGCCGCATCGCCCGCCGCAATTTCCGTCCCTTTGGCCGCCGCATTTCCCGCGGCTTTACTCGCCGCGCTCCTCACCGCTGCTGCCCCCACTGCTACAGAATCATCGTTTGTTGCGCTTTCCCCTAGTTGAATTTCCGCCGACTGCTGCGCTGATTCTCCCCCCACTTGCGCGGATATTTCCCCCACTTGCGCGGGTTCCGCGGCGGCACTGCGGAAGACATATCTGGCGGAAGACCACGAAAGGGGGAAGGTGGCGGAAAGAACGGCCAGGGAGACGACGAGGAGGAGCGGCAGTGCGAGGAGCACCGTTGCGAGAGAATGCGACGCGGGCGACAGTCGCGGAGACGTCGCTCGTCGCATGGGCGACGTGGATTGCTCCCTTTCCATCGGCCGTTGCGACTGCGGTGCCGACGATATCGCCGCTTCGCTCGACGGCGTTACGGATTGCCGAAAGCGAGGGAATCTGCACGGCATAGTGAAGATTCAGACAGATTCTCTCGCGTATATTAGTGTCTGTGACGCGGCCTTCCAATTCAGTCCTGTACTAACGCTATTGCGTCTCCTGACGCGTAAACACGATTGGATATCGGCCACTCGACGACAAGCTTATCTTGAATACGGCCGGACTACAGTCACTAATCTATAATCGAGTTGCGTGTATTCGTATGTTACGGTAAGCTAAACGCATGACGCTGATCGATGCTCTTTCAGAGATCGCTGCGCTGCGGAATCGAAGAGGCGGGACCAGGCGCGAGGCTGCAAGCAAAGCGAGGAGCTATTGTGCGAAACATGCAGGACCCGCGTTAGACAGATAGCGAGACAAGTCGACTATCAGGTCTGTGAGCCTGTGTCCCCTTGCCACCATTTTCTGAGTCGACTGGAAACTTCCTAGAACGAGCATGTGAGCTAATGACCGCATATGGGGGCTGTATGTTTCATTTCCACGGTGTTCGGGCCGTAACTGCGGAGGATATTCCGCCCGCCGATGTATACGCGGAATGCCGGATGGTCGAGTCTGCTACGACGGCGAGAGAGAGACTAGTAAACAAATGCGCTTGACTCTGTTTCTGAAACGCTTCAGTTTCAGAAAAGAAATGGCGCACGCGCGACACCACACCACGAACGAACCTATGTGATACGTGCTAGAGGCCAGCTATTCTCTGGGGACGAGTGTTGGTGGCAGTCCTGTCCTGGACGGTCAATCAGACAGATTGCCAACGAAGCGCATTTCCGACATGCCAATGACATTCTCGCAAGGGTGCTCCCTAACTTCGTATAGTCGTGGTCGGTGGGACGGACGGACTCCTAGGAGACGCGAAGGAGACGCGAAGGGAGGGACGGCATGTAAGACCATGGGATAGGTTGTTCGTTGCTTCGCTTGTTTCGCGGTCGCCAGGGCTGTTAGCTTGAGGGAGGAAGGCCTTACCAGTGCGCTTTCAGACGCGACTCGTCGGTGGGGAGAGCGGATCCGATACGTCTGCGAGGAGACTCATATGGAACATCAGTCGCGCGCGACCCGAACAAGGCCACGGCTCGAAGAAGGAAGAATTCGGTGCTGGTTTAGCTTGCAAGCAAGCTAAGGGCTTGGGGAGCGAGGCAGCGAAACTGGGAACTATGGGTTGTGGTGTGAGAATGGTAGATGCTACAAAAGAGGGAGCGGTGCGAAAAGTGTGTGTGTGCTTGTGTTGTGTGAAATCCGCGCCCGGATCGGCTTGCTGAGCCAACAGCTCGACACAAGGAAGGCGCAAGAGGGGGCCAGCCAAGGCGCAAAAGAGGGGCCAAGTGAAAAAAGATCCGCAAGCATTTGTTTGTAGAGAATGTGTGGGCGCAAACAGGTGCTACTTGCTCTGCGCAAATCAGGTCTGCTCTTCGGGGCTAAATACTGGGTCTTGCCTCAGCACGGGCAGAGTTTGGGGAGCAAAAATTCGCAGCAACGGATTCGGACGGGTTGGGAGCCTGCCCGTTTTGTGATGCGGCGCGGCCTCGACGAATCAATGTTGCCGGTTGCTCCTTTGAAATACAGTAACGCCTTGAATTCGCGCATTGAATTTCCGCTTGAATTGCGCCCCCCCTCCTACGAGCTGGCCTGGTGAAAGCTGATTGGTCTTTCGAGGCGCCAGGAGGCTCTCGCGCTGGCGGCAGGGGCTACCAGGGGCCCGCCAGTCCCGGCGCAAGGTGCGAATTCCATTTCTATTGGCCGAACCGCAGGTAGAACAACCACGGGGTGAATGCGGCCCGGGAGAAAGACTAGATCGCTCGTTTCTATCACGACGGACTGCGGTTGGGTGATTGAATTTGATGCGTGGAATGTAACGAACGAATTGAAGTTCTTCCAAATTCAACCAATTTTCCAACCTAAACAACTCCAAGTAAGAAAATAAAAAAGGAAATCCATGGTACAAAACCTTTCTCCATACACTTCAGTAACAACAAAGTGGACCACTTTCCCCAAATTACCAGTTTTATATACTAGGCATACGTTCTATACTTCAACCACCACCATATCTTCCGTCCTACACCTCATCTTCTGTACTACCAACTCCAGCTGCCAATCTAGGGACTAGGGTTCAACTGCATGACTGATCATTATACAATTGATATTAAAACAGCTGTACATACATAAACCGATGCATGTAGTGCAGGTGCGAAAAATGTTATTTGCGCCCCCCAGCAATGGCCGCAGCAGCAACGGCCCCAATAACAGCAACAGCACCAGCAGCGATGCCCACTCCAATCACTCCATCTGAAATGCGCACATACAAAGGGTGTAGTCGGGGGAAGAAGGGAGGGGGGGGGGGGAGAGAGGGGAGGTGGAGTTGAGAGAAAATTCACTACCTCACCCCAGCCATCGATGCAACAGCGAAGTATGGGGGGAAGCGGGGGGGAGGGAGAACCATTAGTGGACCCCAGCCATGGATGCATCAGCCACTGTTTCAATGGCAGTAAACGCTCTACAGCCATGACCACTCCAATCACACCATGGTAAAAGATTCCAGGTTTTCTCGAGTGGGCTGACGATACGATAGACGACAACCTACTCGTCAGATTTGGCTGGAAATAATCGAGGCGCGGACAATTGGAGAATCGAGGCGCGGACAATTGGAGGGATAGGAGAGTGAGAGCTTGGTAGTGACGCAGCTCGTCCTCGAGGCTATCTTGCTCTCTATGCACTTCTTGAGGGGAAGGATTGAGATACCAAAAGTAGCTGACAAATAGGGGGATACTGAGGTGAGAGATTGGTCTTGAAGCTACTCGTACCTGAAGCTATCTTGCTCTCTATGCACTTCTTGAGGCAGGCGCCTTGGTGGGATGATGGCGACAGCTGGCCACAGTAACGGGGTAGAGAATAAGGGGGATGATATAAGAGGGGTAAGAGTGTTTCTCTAAAGTTGCCAAGTCCTGAGGCTTGCTTGAATTCTCCACACTTCTTGATGCTGGCTGTATGGTGCAGTGAGGGTGAAAGTTGAGAAGAGTGGGCTAGTGGACAATACAGGAGTGTTGACCACAGAATGAAAGAGCGCATATTTGACGTACATGGAATAAGCATCAAAGAGTGATGCTTGTGAAGAATGAGTTTTTGAGGCACCTTAAGAATGAAAGCTGAGAACAGTGGGATAGTGGACAATAGGAGGTGGGTTGACCACAGAATGAAAGAGCGTAAGTACATGGAATAAGTACCAAACAGTGATGTTTCATGGCTTTTAACATTGGATGTTTGTGCAGAATGAAAATGCAGAGATGTGATTGCTGCACACACGCACTCAATCAAAATCCTTGGTACTGTCACACCGCATTGCAGTCACATTTTGCGTTGTACATGAAGCACACACACCCTCCACCAATAGCTTGGGCTGCTGCAGACCCACTGCTGTAAGGCATAGCAACCACCCACTCCCAATCATACGCCTCGTTGCTACCACATCACACACCCTGTCGCTATCGCACTGTCTTCCTCTCGCCTTAAGCGCCTCCTCCACGAGTTGCCTGGCTTGCTGCAGATCGACTGCTCGATAGCACCCCACTGCTTTCAGGTAGAGAACCCAGCCGCTCCCCATCACATCACACCCTGTTACTATCACCCCAACTCTATCACACCCAGCTATTATCACACTGTCACTATAACACTGTCTTCTCTCACCTTAAGCACCTCTCCACGAGTTGCCTGGCTTGCTGCAGATCGCCTGCCTGGTAGCACCCCACTGCTGTAAGGCAAAGCAACCAGCCACTCCCAATCATGCACCTCGTTGCTATCACATCACACACACTGTCACTATACCACTGTCCTCCTCTCACCTTAAGCGCCTCTTCCACGAGTTGCCTGGCTTGCTGCAAATCCCCGACCCGGTAGCACCCCACTGCTTTCAGGTAGAGCACACAGCCACTCCCCATCACATCACACCCTGTTACTATCACCCTGTCACACTGTCTTTCTCTCACCTTAAGCGCCGCTTCCACGAGTTGCCTGGCTTGCTGCAAGTCCCCGGCCCGGTAGCACCCCACTGCTTTCAGGTAGAGAACCTCGTGTCTGTCCTTGGCGTTGGCGTCCCCCCTCTGCTGCTCTGCTCGTTGCAGTGTTGGGAAGATGGAAGATAAAAACAAAGTGAAAAGAGTGGGCGGGAGTGGCCTAACCTCATGCACCCCACTGCTTTCAAATAGAGCACCTCGTGCCTGTCCTTGGCGTTGGCTTCTCCTCTCTGCTGCTCTGCTCGTTATAAGAGGTGCGGAAGATGGGCATGAAGTGAATTAGACATGAAGTGAAGATGGGATTGAAGTGACGGGGAGAGGGATACTATTTCACCCATTACACCCCACCGCTTTCAGGTAGAGCACTTCGTGCCTGTCCTTGGCGTTGACGCCCCCCCTCTGCTGCTCTGCTCGTCACAACGTGGGGAAAATGGGAACAAAGCGAAAAGGGTTGGCGAGAATAATCTGAACCAACGTCCAACAGCCCTGAGGTAAAGCGCCTCGTATCTGCCCTTGGCATCTGACACTTGAGAATTTTCTAAAGTAACATCAAGAATAATCTGAACAAATGTATCCAGCCCAACACCCTTGAGGAAAAGCGCCTTGTGTCTGTGTCACTCCCCCCCACACATCCCCACACACAACCCCAAGCACATCCCCACACACAACCCCAAGCACATCCCCACACACAACCCCAAGCACATCCCCACACACAACCCCAAGCACATCCCCACACACATTTTGACTTTACGCCCCCCTCACACCCTCCCTCTCACCATCCAGCATGGTAATCCCTCGCACCACATCCGCCTCTCTCCGCGAATGCACCAGCGCCCACTCTTGATCCTACCCAAAAGCATTCATCCCCTTCACTAGCTCCCCCACAAACAACACGACGAATCAACACTCACCATCTAGCATGGCTATCCCTCGCACCACGTCCGCCTCTCTCCTCAAGTGCACCAGCGCCCACTAAATGACTCATTTAAGGTACTCTCCCCACACGCATCCCCACTGCCAATCCCCACAACCAATCCCCACCCGCTCCCACTCACCATCCAGCATTGCAATCCCTCGCACCACATCCGCCTCTCTCCTCGACTGCACCAGCGCCCAATTCCCCCCCAAAACCCACTAGCGCAAGGACTCAAGCATTCCACCCAAAACACACAACACAAACACCACGACACCCATGCTGCCCCCCTCCCACTCACCATCTAGCATGGCGATCCCGCGCACCAGGTCCGCCTCTCTCCTCGAATGCACCAGCGCGCACCAGGTACTCTTCCAACATGGCAATTCCCAAGCCCCTCCCAACACTCACCATCTAGCATGGCGATTCCGCGCACCACGTCCGCCTCTCTCCTCGAATGCACCAGCGCGCACCAGGTACTCTTCCAACATGGCAATTCCCAAGCCCCTCCCAACACTCACCATCTAGCATGGCGATCCCGCGCACCACGTCCGCCTCTCTCCTCGAATGCACCAGCGCGCACCAGGTACTCTTCCAACATGGCAATTCCCAAGCCCCTCCCAACACTCACCATCTAGCATGGCGATCCCGCGCACCACGTCCGCCTCTCTCCTCGAATGCACCAGCGCGCACCAGGTACTCTTCCAACATGGCAATTCCCAAGCCCCTCCCAACACTCACCATCTAGCATGGCGATCCCGCGCACCACGTCCGCCTCTCTCCTCGAATGCACCAGCGCGCACCAGGTACTCTTCCAACATGGCAATTCCCAAGCCCCTCCCAACACTCACCATCTAGCATGGCGATCCCGCGCACCACGTCCGCCTCTCTCCTCGAATGCACCAGCGCGCACCAGGTACTCTTCCAACATGGCAATTCCCAAGCCCCTCCCAACACTCACCATCTAGCATGGCGATCCCGCGCACCACGTCCGCCTCTCTCCTCGAATGCACCAGCGCGCACCAGGTACTCTTCCAACATGGCAATTCCCAAGCCCCTCCCAACACTCACCATCTAGCATGGCGATCCCGCGCACCACGTCCGCCTCTCTCCTCGAATGCACCAGCGCGCACCAGGTACTCTTCCAACATGGCAATTCCCAAGCCCCTCCCAACACTCACCATCTAGCATGGCGATCCCGCGCACCACGTCCGCCTCTCTCCTCGAATGCACCAGCGCGCACCAGGTACTCTTCCAACATGGCAATTCCCAAGCCCCTCCCAACACTCACCATCTAGCATGGCGATCCCGCGCACCACGTCCGCCTCTCTCCTCGAGTGCACCAGCGCGCACTCCTGAGCCGACAAAAGGACGCACGGTCCCAATCAGTACCCCCACAAGTATTAAGACGTTCCCAAAGCTCACCATCAAGCATGGCGATCCCGCGCACCACGTCCGCCTCTCTCCTCGAGTGCACCAGCGCCCACGCCAGCTTCATCAGGTTGTCCTTTGCTGCTGCCGCCTGCCCTGGATCCAGCATGTCCCTCTCACACGCCTGGCACGAGAGATGATAGGGAGGCACATATAGGAAGGAAGTCAGTAACAGGCCCACACGCCAGCTTCATCAGGTTGTCCTTAGCTGCTGCTGCCTGCCCTGGATCGAGCACGCCCCTCTCACGCGCCTGACACAAGGAGGTGGGTAAAGGGAGGACGGGGGAGTGGAAGATGGGCTTTGTTGAGAGATGAGTGCACCAGCGCCCACGCCAGCTTCATCAGGTTGTCCTTTGCTGCTGCTGCCTGCCCTGGATCGAGCATGTCCCTCTCACACGCCTGGCGGAAGAGGGGAAAAGGAGGGGGTGAGGGGTGGGGGGAGACGGGAGGACGGGCTTTGCTGAGAGAGACTGCACCAGCGTCAACGCCAGCTTCAACAGGTTGTCCTTAGCTTCTGCCTGGTGCCCTGGATCAAGCACGTAGGGGAAGGGGGAGGGAGGAGGGGAGGACGGGAGGAAGGGCTTTGCTGAGAGAGACTGCAGCAGCGCCCACGCCAGCTTCATCAGGTTGTCCTTAGCTTCTGCCTGGTGCCCTGGATCAAGCACGTCCCTCCCACACGCCTGGCAGTAAGGAGGAGAGGGGAAGGGAGAGCACATTAAAATAAAGAAGAATGGCTGTGCTTACTTGAGAAGTTTTCTCGTCTGTTCCTGGCAGGCTTTCTGCAGGTAATGCATGAGTCCATCAGAAGAAAAGCTCTTTGCTGACCTGAATGGTTTTCTCGTCCGTCCATGGCAGCGTGTCTGCCGGCGAGAAGAACGACGTGACCTCGTTCCACATAGACTGGATGTTCTCCATACCGAGGCTGCTGGTAAAGGGGATGTGAAAGGCGTAGGAGGGATCCGGGTGGAATAAGAGCGAGGTGTCTGAAAGAGTGAAGACAACAACGTGCAGGAGTGCAGGAGCGAGGTGTCTGTGCAGGAGTGAAGGACCACACATCGCTCTACAAAGACTGGAGGTTACGCTCGAATTACTCTTAAAAATTCTCAAAAGTGGAGGTTATGCGATAAAAGGCTTGACCAACAATACTAGAACCGTATACTCTTTTAGCCCGCCGTTAGTTGTTATCCTTATCCCTTCTTGACGCGCATCCGTACTTACCTTTTCCTCACCCTGAAGTCAACACGCCTGATAGCGGTACTGAATGTCACGCAGTCCCAAGCCTGCCTCGATAAGACGTACCTGAAGAACTTACAAAAGCGTCGCCACTCAGACACTCGCGAGCTTATGTGATGGACGGCCGGAAGAATGGACTAGGCTCAAAGTAGGAAAAAAATACTGCTTATGAGGCTTGATTCACAGGAAAAGCTAGATTCGAAGTAGCGCTACGCAAGGATCGTACGAAGGCAAAGACGAATGAAGTCGACGTACAATGGAGGTTCGAATCGAACAGCTTCAGGCTACGTGTGTTCAGCTTTCTATTCCGCAAAACTTAGAAATCGCCGAATCTCAAATTCGTGTTGGGAAAGGCTTCCTCTCAACTCTCAAGGAACCTCGAAATTAAGACCACTAGAGCGAAGTTCAACCAATAGGATTCAGCTGACAGTCGCTTTTCCCAAGGCACGAAATACTGTAGAGCGCATACAGCGACCTCGGAGTTTGCGTGGTGTGACAGGACGGGAGGCGGACAGGACGGGACAGGGATGGATTGCGTGCCGCGGCGGGAAAACAGATTGGTGAAACGGAGGACACCAGTGAGGGTATTATTCCGTCATAGTGAGAATCGGTACCACCCAAAAACAGACAACTGAATGAGTGTCTGGCAATAAAAATCGATATGTGGAATGTAAATTCAACCTGCTCTCGTTCGCTTACACGTGGCAGCGAAAGCTTTCTACGCCCCACGTCGATTTCTCCAGAAGCAGCTCCGCTCACACGTACATGCATCTTTCGAAGATAAGGACACCAAATCGGTTTGACAAGATGCTTTGCGCTTCAAAGAGATGCGCGCAAATCCGAAACGGTTGAGAAATGCCTACATGCCTGGTCAGATTCATTCGCAGCTTGATCGCCATTGCTATGCACGATGCCTAGTCATCAGTCTCAGGGCGTATTCCTGACTTTGTGTCAAGAACCAGTTGGTGTCAACCCATAACTATGGAGCGCACCTGATTGGCCAGTTGTACCTTTTAAACCAATCGCATGCGTTCCAAGATTCTAGGTTGACACAAACACAGCTTGACACGAGGTCCAGGAATACGCCTTAATTCAAGCAGTTGTTTTATCCGCATCGCACTGAAGTATCCGAGAGTTCGGCGTTTCCTTCTCTCCTGCGAAACGTACACCATGGCTGCCACTGTCGCTCGCACCGTCGGTTCCCTGCGATTCGCTGCGAATTCTCTTCGCACGAGCTTCCTGCGATCCTCCACGTGTCGCACGGCATCCGTCGCGCGCGTCGCTGTAGCGCCATGCCGGGCGATCAGTCACAGCCAATCAGCGAAGACAGGGTCGCGAGGGATCCATTCTGCAGCCAATCAGGGCCGACCATCCACGCGACTCCGCGCATTTGAGGTCTCCGGACCTGGCGCCGTGAACTCCGCAACGGCTACCGCGATGCGGGAAAAGGTACGCGCTACGGCTTGAATGGATTCCGGTTTCTCAACAGCGCCATGCGAGAATCGGAAGACTTGTAAGTCGACTCAGAAGCCAACGGTTACCGCCATTCGGAAAAGGAGATACTCCGTAGGTCGGGATGACTTTGGAGATTCTCAACAGCGCTATGAGAGAAGTGGAATTTGACAGAAAAAACACGTAGCTGGTTCAGATAGGTTATAATGCTCATCCGATGAATTGACCAAGGTGGTTGATACACGGGCGGAAGGGAGCACGCCAACGGCGCGCGCAGCCAGATTCGCAGTTTCTGTTCGTCGGTTCACGATGTGCCTCTGTTCTGATTCACTGCACTGTCTGTTCACGATAAAGTGCATTCCTCGCTAAGTTTATTAAATCTGTCTAGGTCGTTTCAGATCAGGTCAATTGTATTGTGCTTATTCTTATGACCAATCAACTCATTTCCCCACCCCTAGCTCTGATGGCGGACAATGTGACAATGGGTATTGAGAGAGTCACATTTCATAGGCCTGTCCCATAGGCAACCTCGCTCTCTGCCTTGTACCCTCTTCTTCCCATTGTGACAGATCGTCCTAGCTCTGGAGGCTGACAGTGTGACTGTTGGTAGCAGCAGGCCTTGTGTCATAGGCACTCCCGTCGCTCCCTACCTCTCACCCTCTTCTTCCCATTGTGACAGATCGCCCTAGCTCTGGAGGCTGACAGTGTGACCGTTGGTAGCAAGAAAGGCACATTTCATAGGCATGTCCCTTAGGCACCCTCACTCTCTGCCTTGCACCCTCGCTCTCTGCCTGGTACGCTCTTCTTCCCACTATGGCAGATCGCCCTGGCTCTGGAGGCTGAAAACGTGACTGCTGGTAGCGAGCAAGGCAGGTCTCATAGGCACTCACTCCCCTCTTTCGCTGCCTCCCACCCTCTTCCTCCCATGGTGACAGATCGCCCTAGCTCTGGAGGCTGACAACGTGACAGTGGTTGATGTCAACGGCGACGGTCAGCACGTTAGGTAAATAGCTGTCTGTTTGTGGGTCCTGTGAGAGTCCAATATTGAGGCGCCTCAAAAGGATTTCAGTGGTGACGGTCAGCACGTTAGGTAAATAGCTGTCTGTTTGTCGGTCCTGTGAGAGCCTATCATTCAACACAATGGCGCTGCTGTCAAATTTCCCCTACTCCACTCCCTCATCCCCCACCCCCACCCTCCCGCTCCCCTCCCCCCCACTCCCCGGCCCCTTCATCCATTCGTTCTTTCCACCTTTCCTGGAACAGTCTTGTATCCTTATATGTCATTCCCTTTACCCACTGCCCACGAAATCTAGGTAGTCAAGAAATTCCCACAACTTCATGGCCAGGTCCACTGGCTGCATTGTGCCTTTGTGTCCCGGTGGTTATGAGAGTTGCCTAATGGTTTCACCTAGAGCAACAAATTGCACAAGCTGCTGTCATGGTCGTCCCTTAGGTCATTCCCCTCACTTGAGTCATGGTCATATCTTCAGTTCTGGTACTTTCATGCTATCAAACCGTATCCTTCTGGTACCCAACATTGTTCCTTGTTTTTGCTAGCAGCATTGAGGTTGTATCGAAGCTGTTTGAGGGAAAGCGCAGCTTGGACAGGCAGCGCATGGTTTATCGGGCAATCTGGGAGGAGCTTCAAGGCGCAGTACATGCCGTTGACTCTCTCGTCACAAAAACGCCTTCCGAAGTGTAGGTTTAGATACATATGTCGTACTGACACACCTCTTTCAGATTGGTTGCGTTTAGTTGAGTTTATACAGATTGGGTGCCTGTTTATTGTATTATTGCTTGTAGCCTTGTTCGCCAGGGAAAGGAAAAACGGTACAGTGTTGGGTCCTTTTAGAGTTCGCCGAACTCGTTTGTAGGTTTCGTTGGGATATTTCGGTCGGGGCGCCTCGGGACGAGGTTTGGAGGTGCCACTGCCACCATCAGGTCAGACCATGATTGTTTGGCCCCTGCCAGACAAATTAGTGTAAAATGCTCACACGACCCTACTGCACACCTTTCAAATCAGTGTAAAATGCCAAAGTAAATTTTGCTGGCACTTGCTTTGAGCCTAGCTATGATCCTGCATTCGCGGCAATAGAATGGTCGTGTTTTCCCCGCGTGCCTTCTTCGGCCTCGGACGTTGACCCATGGGGAGGTCTGGAAACAGGTCTCGAGATTCTGTCACATCCAAACCGAGCAGGCTGGTGTTTCGAGCCTGACTCGAACTATATGAACCGTACTAAAGTACACAGAAACTTCTGAAACCGATCCCAGTCTCATATTTTCCTGGCTCGACATACCCGAACCAGACAAGCGTCGTCGCGTCCCAGAAGTAACGACCACGCAGATGCCATTTGTCCAAACCACGACAGAAAGTGGTGGGGTTGTGCGGTGCCATCAGCCCTTCATGCACTGGATCGTGGTTCTTGCTGAACGCGACAGTTTCGCTTCATTCCACAAATTCCTGCGACCGTCGTCTACGCACGCGCTGTGTAACAACGGGAGCAAGCGAAACTCATAACTAGGTTACGAACATTCACGAAGACAAATATTGTAGATTCTTTCCGGACCTTTTCTTGGATTCCCTGGCGTCCCCGCAAAGCCGCTCTTCGTTCCCCTCTTCGTTCCTCTCTTCACAACCACCCATTCCCTTTTGCTAGCGCATGCGACTTGTTCGAGGAAGGTGCACTCACATAGCTTCCCGAAGCAAGATGGCATTTCCGCCTCCTTTGACTGCTTCCAGAGTTTCTTTTCCTTTCCCATACGTGCAATACCACCAGCTCTGCTAGTTTCTAAGAGCCGTGATTGTTCCGATCAGTTGTGCTTGCTCCTCGGTTCATCTGTCACACACCACATGTTCGTGTTTGTTCGTCCGTGCTTGCTCTTGATCTCGTCCGGCCACAGCACATGCGCATCGACATTCTGACGTACCAGGGCTGGTCAATATGTAAATAGTGCATCCGCGAGGGAGGTCACCTAGTGTTTGGCGAGGTCGCGTTAAATAGCTTCAATATCGGATGGATGTCAAGCGGGTTGGCGTGCTTTTGAGTCGACTCTAACGTCTTCTGGTGTTGAGCGAGGTCGCGTTAAATAGCATCAATATGGGATGGATGTCAAGCGGATTGGCGTGCGCACACTCTCGTCTCAGCCGCCACTCCCGCTGTACTGAAGACCAAACCCCAACCAGCACCCGCAGGTATGGAACGGAGTTTAGTCGCGGCTAACCCCTAATCTTTCCCCCTCCCCCTCCCCCCTCCCCCCTCCCCCCTGCCCCCTTCCCCCTTCCCCCCTCCTCCCCCGCCCTTCCCTCCGACCCCGTCCTCCCCCCAGAGGATTGACGTGCGCCCCCGCTTCCCCTTTTTCCCGCCTCCTGCCTTTTCCCGCTTTTCCCGCCCCGTCTTCGTTACCCCTCCGCCTCGTTTTGTCTTCCGACTCGTGCCGCGCCAGTGAGTTGTTCCCCATCTTCCACCAACCACCCTTAGCCTCTCGTTTCCTCCCTTGTCCCCTTACCCGCGTCCCTTCGTCCTCCTTTCCCTCCCTTCGTCCCCCTGACCTTTCTTCGTCCCTATGTACCTCCCTTCCCGTCTTCCCTTCTAAACCTCCTCTCTTCCTTTCACCCTCACTCTCTTCTCTCTGCCTCCCGTCCTTTCCCTCTTTCGTGGCGCCTTCTCTGACTCTCACAGCAACCCCCCCGCCGACAATCAGCGGCCAAGATTGCTCCAACGGTACCGTGATCATTTCAGCCGTGTCGCGCGCCAATGCTGGCCGGCAGACGCTACCGGCGGGTCTCCTGCCGAGCCGCAACGCTGTTGGGGATTCAACGACGGCGCTGAGACTCCCGACTCGGAACCTGACGGCGAGGGCGGCCTTATATCTGCCCGAGACGTCGGCGCCGGTGGCGCTGCGGGAAGCGACCGCGAAGCTGACGCATCTGCTGCAGGTGGTGCTTCTGGTGCTGCTGGTGATGGCGGTGATAGCGCTGCCGGCGGTGCCGCCTCCTCCTCGTCGCGCAAGCTGCATCGGCGATCGAGTAGCAAATCGTCGAAGTCCGTCGATTGGTCGCTAACGCCCTGTAACTCCGTCGCCGATTTCGCCGACCTGAAAATGGTCGGGCGAGGACGGTGGGCGACCGTTTACGCCGCGACGCACTGCAGGACCGGCCGGCGGGTCGTGCTGAAAATATATTCTGCCCGGCATCAGACGGCTGCGATGCAGAAGCAGGTGGAGCGGGAGATCTGGTGCATGCGCCAAACGCGCGGACACAAGCACGCGATCGGGTTTCTCGGAAGCTTCGTCGACGACGCGGGCAGGATCGAGAGCGCGATCGACGCGAACGGCAGGGGGGGCGGGAAGGGGAAGAACCGGTTAGGTCACGGCGGGATTTTCCGCAAAAGTGGCGGCGGGAAGAGCGGGAGGAAAAGCGCGGGAAAAAGCGGGAGGAAGAGCGAGGGGAAGAGTGAGCGGAAGAGCGGCGGCGGGCGGGGGAGTGCGGGCGGGGGGAGTCGGGGGAAGCGCAGGCGCAAGCAGACTGTTATCGTGGAGGAATTCGCGGCGGGCGGGGACGTCTATCAGAGGCTAATGAACGAGTTTAGCGGGCAGATGCCGGAGGCGATAGTCGTTCGCGAAATCATGTCGCCGCTGTTACAAATCCTGCGATTTCTGCACGCGAACGCGATCATCCATCGCGACGTGAAACCCGAAAATATTCTGTTCGCCGCGGACGGGCAGCTGAAACTAGCCGATTTCGGCCTCGCGATCTGCACGATGCGCGATCTGCCCGGCGCGCGCGTCGGCACACTCGATTACATGGCGCCCGAGCTGCTTCAGTCTATTCCCTCCGCTTCCGCTTCCGCTTCCGCTTCCGCGACTGGTTCCGCGACTGGTTCCGCGGATGGCGCTAGCGCCGGCGCCAGTAGTGCTGCGCGCGGCAGTTCCGCGGAACCCGCGGAGGGTCAGAGTTTCTCGCAAGGGTCGAAGCTGCAGAGGCTGAAATCGAAAAAGCTCTCGTTCGCGCGACAGTCTAGCGGAAGAAATTGGAATTTCGATGTGGGGAAATCGCACGGGGGAAATGGGGAAGCGGACGGGGGAACAGAGCGGGATGGGGGCGCGGGTGGGGTTGGGGACGGGGGTGACGATTCGCGACGCGAGCACGCGGCTCCGTGCATGCCTCTTGGGATGGATCGGCCAATCATTTGTCAGGAAGAGGCCTACCGAATCGCGTTGCCCTATGATGAAAAAGTTGACGTTTGGGCATGCGGGATTTTGGCGTACGAATTGCAGATGGGACGCCCGCCGTTTGAAGTGCCGGGCAGGCAAGCGACCTGCAAAAACATTTTGACCTGCCCCTTGGACACCCTGCCCGGGTTTAAACCCACAGTTTCAGCTGGTAAGGAAAAGGATCACGGGAAACCCTTGCTATCTCCCCTTTGCATCTCGTTCTTAAAACGAGCGCTGGACCGAGATCGCCAAACGCGTGCTTCTATCAGGGAGTTACTGCAGCACCCATGGATCCTCTCCTTCGCCCAATCACCATGCTCCACGTCAGCATCAGCCACACCCTCCCCTCCCACCAACACCACCACCACCACCTCCTCCTCTTCCTCCGCTTCCTTCCCCTTCCCCTCTTCCTCCTCTGCCCCCTCCTCTCGCTCCTCCCTCTCCTCCCCCACCTCAATCCTCGTCCCCTCCTTACCCTCTTCCTCCTCACAATCTTCGTTACAATCACACCCTCCTGGTGTCAACTCATCTGCCTCCTTCGGCCCCACTTCTCCCGAGAAGTTTCTTTCTGACCGCCCGTGGGTAAGATTCGCACCTCCCCCTCTTAGAGGGGTGGAGGTATCCCAGTCACCCCGGAATCGCAGCGAATCATCGTCGGGCTTTAATGAAAAGGGAGGAACAGGGATTGGGGCGTCTGAAAGTGCGAACCTGCAGCAACAAATACAGCAGCAGCAGCAGCAGCAGCAGCAGCAGAAAGGGCAGCCATACCCACAGCAGCAGTATGCTACACAAGCAGCCAGAGGAACGTTAGGTGGAGGAGGAAGAAGCGATGGGTCTCTAAGTAAGCAGCCCTCCTCGTCTTCACAAAATTCCAGTTGGATTCAGCAGCAGCAGCTGAAACTGCAGCTCATTTCTTGGGTAAACTCCATCTTTTTCATTTCTTCCACCACTAACACCACCCCCAACACTTCCTCCTCCTCCTCCTTCTCCTCCTCTGCCTGCCCACCCAACTGCGCCCGCCATTTCGCCTGCGTGCAAGCTGCTCGAAACCGCAGGAGCACCAACGGTTACAGCACCAGCACCATCCATTCCAGCAGCCTTATCCGCACCAGCCCATTCTATACTCGCAACTCTACCAGGCGTTTCAGCAACAGCACCAGTGCTAGTACTGGTGCTGCTACTAACGGATTTTCTTTCTTCACTAGCGGGGGAGGCCTCTCCATAGGGGCAGTCAGCATTCTTGCGCTCTTTATAGCGCTCCTCGGTATTCTGCTGCAGGTCATGGCTCTCTCTGTTCCCCGCTGGCCCATGGTTGTTACACAAGTGCTAGGTGGGCCACTAATTATCGAGGCCACCCCCCATATAGTCACACCAGATACTGTGCTTAGCCGTAGTGGATTTGGTGGCAGCAGCAGCAGCAGCGCTGGCGGCAAGAGTGGAAACAGCGGCAGCAGCAGCAGCAGCAGTGGCAGCGGCAGCGGCAGCGGCAGCAGCAGCGGCAGCAGCAGCGGCAGCAGCAGTGGCAGCGGCAGCAGCAGCGGCAGCAGCAGCGGCAGCAGCAGCAGCAGCGGCAGCAGCAGCGGCAGCAGCAGCGGCAGCAGCAGCAGCAGCAGCGGCAGCAGCAGCGGCAGCAGCAGCAGTGGCAGCGGCAGCAGCAGCAGCAGCAGCAGTGGCAGCGGCAGCAGCAGCAGCAGCAGCAGTGGCAGCGGCAGCAGCAGCAGCAGCAGCAGTGGCAGCGGCAGCAGCAGCAGCAGCAGCAGTGGCAGCGGCAGCAGCAGCGGCAGCAGCAGCGGCAGCAGCAGCAGCAGCGGCAGCAGCAGCGGCAGCGGCAGCAGCAGCGGCAGCAGCAGCAGCAGCGGCAGCAGCAGCGGCAGCGGCAGCAGCAGCGGCAGCAGCAGTAGCAGCAGCAGCAGCAGCGGCAGCAGCAGCAGCGGCGGCAGCGGCAGCAGCAGCAGCGGCGGCAGCGGCAGCAGCAGCAGCGGCGGCAGCGGCAGCAGCAGCGGCAGCGGCAGCGGCAGCAGCGACGGCAGCGGCAGCGGCAGCAACGGCGGCGGTGGTGGCGGTGGTATCGAGGTTGATCTTGCTGACACTGGCAGTGTCGAAACTGGTTACACGGTTAGCAAACTGTCAGCAGACGTAGCCAAAGATTCTAGTCCCTTAGCCACTGCAGCCAAAGCAACTGCTCAGTTGATTTAACTTTGCTCCAGCAGCAGTAGCTGGCATCTGATTTTGACTGGTCGCACTGCAGCCAGCAACGCCATTCATCATTGAAGCCATTCGGGGCTCTAACAATACCTACCTACCTAGCACCTAACAAGAGAAACATGTCTAAGTCTGCGTGTGTGGTAGCATGACAACCATAATAGTTGGAACATAGGGTAGCTTAACCCCATGTAGTAAGACAGCTTGTATTGTAACAAACAGTATGCGTATGTCAATTTTCATGTGTATAGGCAAGGCAAAAGCAATGAACGATTGATGGTTTCAGCTTGTCTACACTCCAATCAAATGGTACCAGGACAGGGACTCGTGGTGCTCGTTTGGACCAAAACACGAGATTTCCATCACAATCGTTTCATCTTGCTTTGCACTGCCAGTCTGCCAGTGACTGTTACATTGGTTGTGGACCTTTTTTACAAGCCCATCAAACTGACATGTTGCTTCTCCCATCCTAGGCTTGCATGCACCGCCGCTCCCAAGCCTTCTCAAACCTCACTCGGCTTTGCACGGCCTTGCATCCCTTGCTAATACAAGCGACCACTTGTTTGTTTCCGAACGCCCCACAAATGGAAGCAAATCGCAGCGCGAGTTAAAGAAGCGATATACGGTAGCCATTCTTTATAAGTGCTGCTGCTTCAGCGACACGTTCACTCCTGATACGCTTAAACAATAACACTGAAGCCATTGCTCAACTCAAAAGTGCTGCTTGAGCCATGATGCCACGGTGAGCCATTGCTCAAACTCACTCTGGGGCCTGCGAGTATTATAGGGAAACAGGGTGGGGAGAAGGTGGGGGAAGGGGGGACAAGGAACCCTTAAGTTAACTGTGCTTCAGACGTGCTGCTTCAGCCTCGAAGCCACGGTGAGCCATTGCTCGAACTCGCTCCCGGGCCTGCATGTATGGGAAGGATGGGGACGAGGATCAGGGATAGGGTTTAGGGGAGCCAGAGCTCGAGCTGCCCAAGGTAGCTCACTTGCATGCCTGTGACTGAATCTATAAACTGTGCTGTTGTACTGCATGTTACATTCAATGAAGGACCATTCGAAGGAGAGTGAATGGGGGTCGAAGAGGGGGGGGGGCGCAGGTGGGAGGTGTTGCTTCAGCCACATGGTGGTTCTTGAGACATTTGTCACGTAAAATTTACATCACCTATCAATGGCTCACATCATCTCACTTCTCAAACACTTCTACTTACTTATCTAACACCCACCTCGCCCCAACCAAATGCTCATCGCTCACTTGCCAGTGGCCCCTCACTCCCATCTAAAACTTTTCGCTGGCCCATCACTCACTTATCAGTGGCCCATCACTCACTTATCAATGGCCCATCACTCACTTATCAATAACCCATCACTCACTTATCAATAACCCATCACTCACTTATCAATAACCCATCACTCACTTATCAATAACCCATCACTCACTGATCAATAACCCATTACTCACTGATCAATAACCCATCACTCACTTATCAATAACCCATCACTCACTTATCAATAACCCATCACTCACTTATCAATAACCCATCACTCACTTATCAATAACACATCACTCACTTATCAATAGCCCGTCACTCACTTATCAATGGCCCATCACTCACTTATCAATGACCCATCACTCACTTATCACAACCCCATCACTCACTTATCACAACCCCATCACTCACTTATCAATAGCATGAACATCTTCAGGCATCATGAGCACTCGAGCCTCCAGCCCTTGCGCGCGCAGCGCATGCACGAGCTGTAGTTCACGCAAGTGATGGAAAGCGGAGGGGGAGAAGAGGGAAGTAACAGGGGTAAGGGGTTGGACAGGCAAGAAAGTTGAACAATCGAGCTTCCAGCCCTTGCGCGTGCAGCGCATGCACCAACTGCAGGCGGGCGGGGAGGAAGGGAAGAGCAGTCACGGGGTTGTGTGGGGGGGTGAGAGTTGAGAGAAGCGGTTAGACGGACAAGATGAGTCAACACTTGTTCGATTCGGCCCCGTCCAGCCCTTGCGCTCGCAGCGCATGCAGCAGCTGTTGGGTGGATAGGGAGGAGAGGAGAGAGGGGTTGGAGAGAGGGGGGGGAAGGGGAGGGGGATGGGAATGGCATGGGGTTGGGCGGACTAGAAGCGTGAACACTGGAGATTTTCCAACACTTTCGCATGCATGCACACAACAGCTTTGACAGGCAGAAAGCGCGTCACAACAATCGGTTTAAACGACAGCGCAGTCGGCATCAAGGAGCGATAAGCACGATGCAACGGCCCCCCAACAACGCTGCTGCTGACACTCGCCTGTAGGCCCCTCACCCGTAGCCCTCTAACCCATAGCCCTTTAAACCCGAAGCCCTCTAACCCGTAGCCCCCTCACCTGTAGCCCGTTCGAAGCGGGAACGCGCAGATCCTTCCCTCCAAGGACGAACAGAGTCGGCACCTTCACCTGCACGAGGGGGGAGGGGCGGAAGGAGGGAGGGAGAGAAGGAGATGACGAAAAGGGGGAGGAGAGGGGGGTGTTGGGAAGCTTTCAAACTTGTGCAGATCCTTTCCCCCAGGACGAACAGAGTCGGCACCTTCACATGGACGGGGGGGGGAGGGGAGGATGGAAGAAAGAGAACAAAGGAGAGGTGGCTGGGCTTGGCAGCTTTCAAGGTTTCAGCGCAGCTGTGGAGTCCCCCCCATCTGAGGAGAGCAGAGAGCAGAGAGTTGGCACTTTCGGAGAGGCGCAACACACCTTGGATGCGTAGGTGATGGGAGATGCCTTGAGGAAGGTCTGCAGCTCGGCAGCAGCGGGCGAACCGGAGAAAGGCGGCCAAGCCAGGCTGGGCTAGCGTGGCTTGTGTGTGAGAAGATGACAAGAGAAGAGGAGAAGAAAATAGAAAAGAAGAGTAGAGGCGAGGAGAGAAGCTTACCTTGGATGCGTAGGTGATGGGAGAGGCTTTCAGGAAGGTCTGCAGCTCGGCGGCTGTGGGCGAATCAGAGAAGGCGGCCATGCCAGGCTGGCCGAAGGCCTCCACGAAGCACCAATCAGGGATGTCGGTGGTGCCAACCATGCTGGCGATGTTGGTAACCGGGTTACGCAGCACAGCCGTGCGGAAGCGATCGGGCTCCTGACAAGGGAGATGGAATTGGAGGGAGGGAAGAGATGAGAATTATCAGTCAGGGATGTCAGTGGTGCCAACCATGCTCGCCAGGCTGGTAACCGGGTTAAGCAGCACCGCCGTGCGGAAACGATCGGGCTCCTGACGAGGGAAATGGAAATGGAGGAAGGGAAGAGATGAGAATAGCAGTCAGGGATGTCGGTGGTGCTAACCATGCTCGCCAGGTTGGTAACCGGGTTACGCAGAACTGCTGTGCGGAAGCGATCGGGCTCCTGGTAACGGGATGAGACGGGGAAAGGTGGAGGCTTAGGAAGGGAGGGAAGAGGAGAAGGGGGGGAGAAAGGGAAGAAATGAAAGGACCTGTGAGGGATGACAGGGTTTGTCTGTAACCATGCTTGCGAGTGTCGCAAGGAAATGGACATGGTTACGGCGCAGAAACGGATTTTGCGTTATGCAGTCATGATTTGCGTTACGCAATCACTTCACTTCCCTGGACTTCCCTCCTCCCTTTTCACCAAATTCAGCCGCAACGTTTCTCACCTGCCCAATAAGACTCTCGAGGCGCCTAAAAACCTCCCCCCTTCTAACCAAAAGCAGCAAAACGTTTCTCACCTGCCCGATAAGGTGTGCAGCAAGGAAGCCACCGTGCGATCCACCAATCACGGCCATACGAGAAGCATCAACATATCCCAGCTCCACCACCCGGTCGATTGCTTCCAACACATCGGACACGTCCTGGTGGGGGAGGGAGAGGGAGAGGGTATTGGGGAGCAGGCGTGGAGGCAGTTGGATAAGGTCCCAACACCACGTACCCCAGCTCCACCACCCAGTCGATTGCCTCCAACACATCAGCCACGTCCTGATGGGGGGAGAATAGGAAAACAGAAAAACGGGAAGGAGTTTGCAAGAGCTTTGAGCCGTCTCAAGACTCGACCCCAGGGGCTCAGCGTCCACATATCCCAGCTCCACCACCCAATCGATTGCCTCCAGCACGTCAGACACGTCGTGATGGGGTTAAAGAGGGTAAAGATGGGTAGTCATTACTGCGAGGAGAGTGGAAAGGTGGAATGGACAAGGAGTGCAAGAAGCACTGAGCAACCAATCACAGCACATGAACATCTGCTATATTGAAATCACGTTTGAGAATTCTCAAGAGTGGCTTGTAGAGCCGATCCTTTTCACGTTACAAGATATTTTGGCTCCTTTGCCGCCCCATCCAGCTCACCTGCCGCCCGGCTCGACCCACCTGCCGTCCCATTTGGCTCACCTGCCGCCCAATGTGTTTTGGCAGGGACTGCAGCGCCTCCTCTCCAAACCCAAGCGACCCCCTGTGAGACACATGGGGAAAGATCGATCACAGGCAAGAAGACGAAGCATGACATCATTGTGTTTAACTTCAACGCCTCAAGGTGCCATGAGTGGGACACACTGCGGCGCTTCCTCCCCAAACCCAAGCGAGCCTCTGCGACACACATAGGGAAAGGCAGAGCATCAGCACTATCATCACGAGTAACACGCGCATCAGCAAAAGCAGCACAAGCAGGGGCCAAAGAGGCAGGCAGCAGCAGCAGCCAGCTCCAGCTGCGGACCGGATGGAAAGCAAGCTGCTGCTGCCTGCCTCTGTGGCCCCTGCTTGTGCTGCTCTTGCTGATGCTCGTGTTACTCGTGATGACAGTTCTGGTGCTCTACCTGGTTGGGCAACAATAGATGATAAACAAGAGGACAAGGCAGGAGCGCATCACGGGATCACAGTGCGATGGCCTCATGGCTCCATAAAACCATGTCATGGCATCGTGGCAACAGTCAACTCCTCCATTCCTCCTCCCTGGCATCCTCTTC